AAAACTTCACTAATTGTTGGAAGAGGTTTCAAATTCAAAATCCGTGAGCGAGTCAGGTCAAACTCAGATTTGAGGCCAAGAAGAAATTTGAGTGTTTGTGTTCTATGATTGGGCGAAATATGACAGAGTCTTCGGGACACTTTCAAAGGTACACCTCGAATAGATCTAGTTGCTGCCAATACCGAGTAAAAGTATTGAAGTATTCGGTGACGGAGAGATCACCTTGACGAAAGTCATGAAGAGTGGTCTCAACAGCAAATAGTTCGCTTGTATTGTCCGAACTAGAATAGGTCTCACTGGCAGCATCCTAGATTTCCTTAGCCGTGCCATAGAGAAGAAAATTTTTGCCAATATCAATTGCCATCGAGTTAACAAGCCAGTCCATAACCATATTATTCTCAAATTTTCAAGTCTTATATGACGGATCTGGATCTGTCGTCATCGGAGCTAGAGCATCACCAGTGAGGTAGTCATCTTTGCCTTTGCCGTATACAAACATCATGACTGACTGCGACTATTGGAGGTAATTCTGGCCGGTGAGTGTATTGTCTGAATTGTTGGGCAATGGAGACCCAACCGCGGAGGGGTGGATAGAAGTGACATCACTAGTGGAGGAGTTGCAGGCATGGCCGTACTTAGTCATTGGAGAGGAGAGGTGGCCAGCAGAATGACCAGAGATGAGGTTGTGCTGACGAGGAGCACGGCTGGAACGGGCTGTGCTTGATCGCGGAAGAAGAGTCGGCGCTCAGGCGCGGACAATCGCGGGAGAGGTGCGCACTAGGGTTGTGTGCGCTTGGATGCGGTCGATCGGGACGCGGACAATCGGAACAGGCGCTCGGACGATCGGGAGAGACGCTCGGACGCGGACGATCGGGACAGAAGCTCAGACGATCGGACGTGGACGATCAGACGGTTGGACGAAGAGTGGCGCTTGGACGCGGACGATCGGGGCAGGCGCAAACTAGAGCAGCGCTCGGACAAGGACGATCGCGGGAGAGAAGGGTCGTGATCGAGCTGAGCGGGAGAGCCTTCCCTTTGATGGCTCTGATACCATGTGAGTTTTGAATAATCCTTTTTTCATATGAATACATAGATAATTCACCTATAAATAGGCGAGTGCAGGAAATAGAAAGAGGAAAGAAATCTTCCTACAATTAAGTAATTCCTATAATTACGGAATAAACATAAATACCTATAATTAAGGAATTATCCTTTTTATACTATGACTAAATATAACAATTACTAAATAGAATTAAAGTAAATGATAAGGAGCGTAATTCCACAGATGTTTTAGATTCGACTTATGTTAAGAAAGACAAAGGCAGAACTAAAAATACTTTGGCCTATTGTATAAAAAATAAACTTAAGCTATTAGAATTAAATGAAAGTATGATACTCATATGATACTCAATAGGATGCGTGGAGAAAAAGGATTCATGTAGCCGACCCACTTAGTGGGATAAAGGCTTGTTATTGCTGTTGTTGCTTATCTTTCATATATCACTATATGAGATCTTATAATAATCTAATATACATGTCCATGACATTTACTCCAGTGAGAATAATTCAAAACTTCTATATGCATTAACTTTAACTTTACTTTCCAAAGTTTAGTCTTTTAACTTTAGTTTTACTTTATACTATTAGCATTCACATCTGTCTTAGGAGCACCGTCAAAACATTACCTAACATAATTCATCTTATTTGATTTTTTTCAAATTTTGTATATTTGATTTTAATCTCAAAGGTTACAGTTGCCACAAATGTGAATATTTTCTATTACCACGATCAGTCTGAAAATCTAAGTTTTATTTTGTTTTTTTTTAATATTTTAAATTGTAATTGGAGTATTTTGATATACTATCATTAAAGTAATTAGTGATTTATGTCCGCGTCAACATTCTAATGTTCGCTAAAAGGATTTATGGGGCTGCTAGAAACTTAAGATATTTTTGATCTACAAGTTTTATACTTGGGTATGTATCAACGACAAAATAACAATGACTTTTGACCTAGGAGGAATCTTTTTTGTTCTGTAATATTATTTTCTTGCAATTCTTCAGGTTACTTCTTTATTTTTTCTGTGCACGTGATTGAGGGACTTATGGCTTCTGTGATTTCTTTTCTTATCTGATTTGCCTGCTTCTTGCAGCAGCTATAATGCTTAGGCATTGACAACATTAACAGGGACAAGTTTCTAGTTAATTGTATTCAATGATTTTAAATTGATTTTTTTATTAAAAATAAGGATGAAAAAGTTTGCACATAACTAAAAATAAGCAGTTAAGTTAAAATTTTAGGCAGACCTGCAATTAGTTCTCTGCTTTCAAGATTCAATTTTGATACATTAACTCGATTAGTCCCAAATCTTGATGAGGTGTTTGCTTTGAAAATTTTAGTAATTATATTCAAGACTTTCTGAATTTTGATTTGTCAAATTTATAATTGATTTGAATGCCTTAAAGAGATGGATCCAATTATACCAAATTTATTCCAATCTGTGTCCAATTGAGCTCAGATTAAATACTTAGTAGGTGGTTAAAAACTTAAAATTAATTGATGGGCCAATCAATTTTCAATATTTGTATGTTACAATCAAAACCAACTCCTCGATTAGAGAAATCAACTAGCCTAATATTACTTAATACCATGGACATTAAGAAAATGTTGAAAAAAATTATATATTACTAAAGAAATCAATGCTGATTATTTGATAGAGTTTCAAATTTTGGCTAGACCTATCAAAATGCCACCTTAAAAAATAATAAATTAATTAACATTCTTCACACAAGGGATTCTGAACGTGAAATTGGATAGAGCTTGAAAATATGAAGATTTCAGATATCTGTTCAACATTCGATGTCGAGGATCACTGTCGTTGTCTTGATGATTTGGCCCTTATGCAGTCATTTGGCTGCCTTTGTTCAATCATCTTTGCTGGAAAATTTTAGTCATTTTCCATTGTTCAACCATTATCTTTTGATTGTTACAGCTAGACTACCGTCACACTATCATCTATGCTTGATAGATGTTGTCTGACTACCGTTATGGTTCTTTACTTCAATATTCTAAGCGACAACCAAGCAAAAAAATGATCCACTTTTCTAAACTTTGTAATTCCCTCTTCTCCAGTAGTTGGGAAAAACAGGCATATCCACTTATATAGTGGATCATTTCATCTTACTTGGGCGTTATGTTTTTTTTTCTTTTTTAAATTTTCACGTAAAATCTGATGCTTTTTTGTGGAATTTTCTTTATCTGTATGGTGTTTTCATGTAATGCTAATACTATATTACTTTTTGGTTGCTGCGAATTTTCTTGCATGCAACAAATTTCTTGATTAAGCAAGAGATTTGAACAATTTCAGCTGGATATTTGATTTTTAGTAGAGGCTATGGCTTGTTTGTCTTAATTGATTTCTATTAGTTTTTTTATCATCTATGTATTATGGGTTATTTTGGATTAACATTTTGTCTTGCTAGGAGTGTTAATCATGTTAGATCTACATTAGAGATCTATGTTGCACTGACACTTCGTTTCAATTAAGTGCATCTCATCAAACTAGTATAGGACAAATGCATTTGCTAGACACATGCTTGACTAGCTCGAATCAATTTTCAAGAGATTATCGATTTTAGAGTTAAATTCGCTAAATTCACAACCCTAACTCACTAGGGCCATTAACGATTCACCTGCTTGAAAAAAAATTCGATAAAAAACTTTGGCTCGTAGCTTGACTCGTTTATTTTGATCTGATCTTGATACAAACAAAACTCGAATCAATCTTCAAGCGATTATCGATCTTCAAGCTAAATTCATTTAATTCATATTCCTAACTCACTAGGGCCATTAATGATCCGATTTGAAGCCGGTTAAGATTGGCTTGAAAAAAAATTGATAAAAAACTTTGGCGCGTAGCTCAACTCGTTTATTTCGATTCGATCTCAATCCGAGCCAAAATTCGGATAAATTTTGGAGCGAAGATCTTTGAGCTAAATTCACAGCCTTTTGCTTGACTCAAGTCACACACACTGTCTATCTGTCCAATTAAAAGAATTAATAAAAAAAACTAATATACGTTACGGATATATGCATGTAATAAACAAGAAATTTTAACTTTAGAATCAAATTACATAAATAGCTTAAGTCATTTTTTCTTTTTATTATACAAAATTACAATACATAAATAATTTAATTGGTACTTAATATTTTTTTGTTTTTTCTTATTTTACTCTATTTTCAATGATTATATTATATTATTTTTTTATTTTTTATAAAATAATCAATTTTTAACTTCAAGTTAATGTAATATCTTGTAACTGTTTTTTCTTCACTCGGTTTTGAGCTAATTATCAAGTTTGAATATATTTTATATTAGTTGATCTTATTTAATATTTAATACCTTAATCTTTATATTTATTTATGCAACACTCAAATTTCTAATTCAGATAATAAGTTTTACTAACACTAACTTATTTAAAGTGAAACACATTTTTTTATACACGCTTTGACATGATTTAGCACCAAAGTGGTATGTAATTAAATATAAAGTGTTAAGTGTCAGATATTATAAAATATAAGAAATTTTTGGTATTTATGTAAATCTCCTTTATTTTTTGCGTAATTACTATACAAATATTTTATTTTTTAGAAATAAAATATCATAATGTCATTTAATATGTTTTTGTGCTATATTTTCAATTATGCATTTGTCACATATTCATGTTGTGTCATATCCATGTTTTTGTGTGTGCATCATAATTAGAGATCTTCGACCCAAAGTTGCCCTACGCGGAGGTCTACTCTAGTTATTTTCTATGAAAACAAAACCAAAATGGAAAATATTCGAAGACATATGATGACTTGGTGATTAATATTTCCATTTATTTTCTCCTATTTGTTTGGTTGTAGATTTTCTTTATTAAATTTTTGTAATCAGTAGCTTTGCTTTAGGTAGTAATTATCTTCTGGTTAAAAGCTTTATGGTTACAACTGATTAGGTTGTAGGTTGGAGACTGGTGGAGTCTGACAAAGGGATGAAGATTCAGTGCACATGGCGTGTAAGGGATTATGGATGTGGTATTGAGCTGATAAATAGAATATATGGAGCTTTGGAAGGTTCTGGACACTTCCCGGATCTTCACTTGGAGAAACCTAATCAGATTAGGGTAGAGCTCTGGACCCCTATAATAGGTGACTCAACTCTAGCTCTTTTGCCTTGTTTTAAATTAATTTCTATTTCAACTCTACCATTTTATTTATTGCCATTAAATTATTGTTCAGATGACTTGGATTGAGCCATTTGTTATGTGCTGGATGTTTCACACAGTAAAACAAAATCGTACATCTTTTTGATTGATTTACCACATACCACTCAATTTCTATGTATTCACATATCTAACATCTAAACTTCAATTTTTACATATTTGCCAACCTACCTATGCATTAAAATTTGTATTTCATTTTTTTTTAAATTAAAATAATGATATTTTTTATTTAATATTAAAGATTGCGACGGTATAATTGTAAAAATTAAAGGTTATGTGTCAGTTATGTAAATACATAAGAAATGCTCCTTTATTTTATACCACACAATTCTTATATGCATCACATAAAAAAAATTCACTATTACTAATTTTTTAAAGTAAAATACACATTCTAGTTTATAATTTAAAGATGCGAAAGTGGTTTAAATATAAATATCAAATATAAGGTATTAGATATGTAACTATATAAGAATTGCGTGTTGTGTATGTAAATCTCTCTATAAGGCTGGTAAACATAATTTAAATTGGATTTAGTCATGAATTTAACGTAAATTCTGCAAAACATTAAAAACATAAATTAAATGCAACACTCCGTTAAATTGATTTTTTTTCGCATTCCATCTTTTCTTCCCACATTCCGTCTTTTTTACGACGTAAATCCGGATTTAGCAAAATCTGATTGTGAGCTGGATTCAAGAATTTCTTCTGGCCGTCACTCACGAGTTCATATCCGTCGTTGCACAAATTATTGAATTTACTGGATTTGATAAATTGTATTTAACGTAAATTTATGTTGCAACCGAACACCGCCTCAATAAATACTCTGATATTCTGTTGCTCTGCTTTGAATGCACTAATTTCGTCTATAAATTCCAATACTCGAATTCTAAAAATTCATTCTTTGCGGTATTTCAGGTGGTCTGAGCTTGAATGATTTCATTGTGGCTGCTAAGATAGATATTGTCAAAACTATAGATCTCATCCCGAAGAAGAGAGTATGGGCCTGATTTGTGTTTCCGATTCAGAGTGTGGAACCAACCGTAGAAAGCCATTTGTTTGGCCTTAATTCTTTCTGGGGTTATATCTATAAAAATTTGATGTAGAAAATGTAATATAGACTTCCAGATTTTTTGATATTAAAAAGTTGTCTAGTGCCAGTAGAGCACTGCGTGTTGATTGCTACTAGATATTTGTAAGTTGCAACGTCTCAACTTGTTTGCTTTGAACTCCTAATGAATAAAAACAAAGAACATTAACATACATACCACACAATTCTTATGCATTTACATATCTGTCACCTAAACTTTAATTTTTACATATGTGCCACTTTGCTTATGCATGAAAAGTTGCATTTCACTTTTTAAAATTAGTAATAGTGATATTTTTGATGCGAAATGGAATATTCGAGTGTTATAAAGATGAAAGATGAAGTTTATATGGTAGATATGTAATTCTTAGTAAGTGTGTGGTATTGTTTGCTTTGAACTCCTAATGAATAAAAACAAAGAACATTAACATACATACCACACAATTCTTATGCATTTACATATCTGTCACCTAAACTTTAATTTTTACATATGTGCCACTTTGCTTATGTATGAAATGTTGTATTTCACTTTTTAAAGTTAGTAATAGTGATATTTTTGATGCGAAATGGAATATTTGAGTGTTATAACGAAGAAAGATGAAGTTTATATGGTAGATATGTAATTCGTAGTAAGTGTGTGGTATGTATGTAAATGTCTCATAAGACAAATGATAGCAATTGATTTAACTTGGAAGAAAAGATATTTCCTTGTTTGACAGGCAAAAAAACTATTTGTCAATTTGCCTATTGAATATTGATTATATTGCCAGAAGAAGAAAATTGTGTGTTGGGCTTTAAGATTGTGATTTTTTGTTCTGTTTTTTTTTGCTTTAATTATCAAGCTAGTTTGTGATTTAGGGAAGGAAATAAATCAGAAAAAAATAAAATATTAGTATATGGTTCATGCTTCATTATCAAAGCAGAGTTTGTACAGTTTTCATTCTTTTTTAGTGCATTTACATACATACCAAACAATTCTTATGAATTTACATATATAACACTTGAAACTTTCATTATTTACATTTCAACACTCAAATTTATTTAAAGTTTTGGATATATAAATGCATAAAAATTTTGTAGCATTTATGTAAATTTTTCTAAAAAAATGATATATGTGACTATTTGTTCATATTTTTCTTCATCATACTCTCTCTCTTTTTCTCTCTTTCATACTAACATTGAAGGGATGCAATTATCATGAGTAAGGGCTCATCTGACGGTGCTTTCTATTTACTGGATTTGATAAATTGTATTTAACGTAAATTTATGTTGCAACCGAACACCGCCTCAATAAATACTCTGATATTCTGTTGCTCTGCTTTGAATGCACTAATTTCGTCTATAAATTCCAATACTCGAATTCTAAAAATTCATTCTTTGCGGTATTTCAGGTGGTCTGAGCTTGAATGATTTCATTGTGGCTGCTAAGATAGATATTGTCAAAACTATAGATCTCATCCCGAAGAAGAGAGTATGGGCCTGATTTGTGTTTCCGATTCAGAGTGTGGAACCAACCGTAGAAAGCCATTTGTTTGGCCTTAATTCTTTCTGGGGTTATATCTATAAAAATTTGATGTAGAAAATGTAATATAGACTTCCAGATTTTTTGATATTAAAAAGTTGTCTAGTGCCAGTAGAGCACTGCGTGTTGATTGCTACTAGATATTTGTAAGTTGCAACGTCTCAACTTGTTTGCTTTGAACTCCTAATGAATAAAAACAAAGAACATTAACATACATACCACACAATTCTTATGCATTTACATATCTGTCACCTAAACTTTAATTTTTACATATGTGCCACTTTGCTTATGTATGAAATGTTGTATTTCACTTTTTAAAGTTAGTAATAGTGATATTTTTGATGCGAAATGGAATATTCGAGTGTTATAAAGATGAAAGATGAAGTTTATATGGTAGATATGTAATTCTTAGTAAGTGTGTGGTATTTATGTAAATGTCTCATAAGACAAATGATAGCAATTGATTTAACTTGGAAGAAAAGATATTTCCTTGTTTGACAGGCAAAAAAACTATTTGTCAATTTGCCTATTGAATATTGATTATAAGAAGAAAATTGTGTGTTGGGCTTTAAGATTGTGATTTTTTGTTCTGTTTTTTTTTGCTTTAATTATCAAGCTAGTTTGTGATTTAGGGAAGGAAATAAATCAGAAAAAAATAAAATATTAGTATATGGTTCATGCTTCATTATCAAAGCAGAGTTTGTACAGTTTTCATTCTTTTTTAGTGCATTTACATACATACCAAACAATTCTTATGAATTTACATATATAACACTTGAAACTTTCATTATTTACATTTCAACACTCAAATTTATTTAAAGTTTTGGATATATAAATGCATAAAAATTTTGTAGCATTTATGTAAATTTTTCTAAAAAAATGATATATGTGACTATTTGTTCATATTTTTCTTCATCATCCTCTCTCTCTTTTTCTCTTTCTTTCATACTAACGTTGAAGAGATGCAATTATCACGACTAAGGGCTCATCTGACTTGCTTTCCTGAGCAAGTCACGTTTTGTTGTATGAACATTGCTATCTGCAATCTAAAATGACGAAAAATTACCTCTACTGAAACAGTTCCGCGAGTCTTTGTTTTACCCAAATAAAAGTAAATTCACATATCCGTCTTCACTATAACTGAATTGAGTTTCAATATATATATATATTAAAAAGAAATCAGTATTTGACAGAGTTTCAAATACCGATTTCTTATGTGCTAGACCCCATGATGAGAGCCCACGTCATGTGCCTAAATATTTGAGAACCCAGCACTACTGGGGATCAAACCCGTGACCTGAAGGGACTTACAGTAAATCCCGCCAACCAACAACCACCAACAGGTCACGGCTTGCGGCGCGCGCGCACACACACACGTGTTCAATGCATTTTGTGTGATTTCATGTATGTATAAATATAAACTTTTTCATTAGATATTATAAGATGCTTAGGTGTTCAATGCATTTTGTATGTTTTCATGTGTGTGGATAAGATCAACAGACAATAATTAAGAATCAAATTGACTTTCGACTCTATATAACACAATTTGAGGGAGAATTGGGCCTAACTTATTACACCACCTAACGGCTGGGATCAAGCTGTGTCAAATCAATTCAATATTATTATAAGAGCATTGAAGCCTAATTTTACATAAAAAAGGAAAGACAAAAAAAATATCAAAAACAAAACAAATATATCTTTATTTTATTTATTTACTATTTTCTAAAAAAATTAACAAATGAATTACTTTCAAAAAATTTCATAAATACCACACTATTCTTATGTATTCACATATCTATCATCTAAATTTTTATATTTATATATTTAATACTTTGATGTCATGAATCTATGAATAAACATGTATATTTTGCTTTTAAAACTCAAGGAATAGTGATATATTTTACATAATATCAAAGATTTGAGTGCAATATTGCATTTAAATACTAATGTTTAGAAAAAAATGTACAAGTATTATGTGGTATGTATGTAAATACCTCATTGTTTTATTATGATGGAGAAACAAAGAACATGACAAGAAAATTAAAAAGCATTGTGATCGAAGAATTAGGTACTCTAAACTATTATAATTATGTTTCTTGTTCTTAAATTCATGCATATGAACGAAAGGTGAATGGGAGACTTCCAAACTAATTAATAAGGCTCCATACGCTTTTGACTGAACGGCACTTGGGATATTACTCTTCGCCTTTTAATACCATTCAACAATGGTCCCAAGGAACTTGCAAAAAAAAAGGTGGGGGCATTTACATATTTACCACACATTTTTTGTAGAATTACATATCTACCACACATTTTTTATAGAATTACATATCTAACACGTAGTTTGGAATATCTGCAGCTTTTTAAAAAGATAATTTGTAAACCTGTGATGAAGAAAACACTTCATGAAAAGTTATGATAGAAATTATATATATATTCTAAAAAATCAGACAATAATTTTCTTATAACCATCGTACTTAACAAGTAAGATTGAAAAAAACAGCTACCTATCAAAAAATTTTTTCTAGAAAACAGTTTCTCAGCTAGAACTGTGGCAGCGATTTGAAACAAAAATCAGGTAGAAAGCTATCCCAAACAGACTCTAAAATTTACATATTTACATGCATAAAACTGAGATCCTTATTATTTACTTTTTAAAATTAAAATAAATATTTTTCAAATATAACCAAAGTGCTAGACATGTAAATACATAAGAGTTGAATGGTATGCTTGAAAAATAATAATAATAAAGGGCATCTTCAAGGCGTAAGAAATTGGCTGATTCCACAGCAGTATAGTTTGATGCTCCAAAAAGTACTTGCCGGCTAAGCAATATGTGTTTAGTTTGATATAAGCTAAGGACTTTTGATCTGATCTAACCTAAATAATTCCACTATTAAAACAAAAAAAAGAGGCATTTACTTACATGCCACAATTCTTATGTATTTGCATATCTAATACCTAAACTTTCATATTTACATACAAAACCCTCAAATTTTTAATATTATATCAAAAATATATGCCACTGCTACTAATTTTTCAAAAGTGAAATACATATTTTTATGTGTAAGTTCATGAGACTAAACTGTTTTATACTTATAAAATAATTGCTTAACTAAAGTAACTAAATTGTTTAAAATATCTTTTCTTAGAAGATTATTTATGATTTTGAGATTGTTAATAATATATATATATATGTATATTAGTAGGTTGATTGTGTATGGAGTAGGAACTTAAGAATATATATTATACATTTATCCACTCTTTTATTATTGAGGCAAGTCTAATACATAAGACATATGGGATGAATAAAAAAAAATTATCAAAAGAATCTCCCTAAGCTTTAGAAATATTATGATGCTTTGCCCTCCCATTCACTCTACAATGTGACAAGTCTTGGCTCCATATTGTGGAAGGTACAATTTAATAAGCATGCTATCATAATGGACCTTTTGCTTTTTTCTTAAAACTTATCAATTGTGAATTATTTTCATTTAATAACATCTTGTCATGGAATCCCAACATCTATGATTTCAAAATAAAAATGACTATTACAAATCATGTACTATAGATTGATTTGTAATAGCATGTAAGGAAAAAAAAAGTTGATTATGAATGATTTGGTAGAAAAATAAATTAAAAGTACATGAATTTTGATAAAAAAAATCCATGTGTTTTTTTCCTTATAGCATTTTAATTTAATTTTG